CCCCAAAACCCCAAAACCCCAAAACCCCTGATTCACCAACTCAGGTTGAAATATTCTGTTAACAAATTGAGAATTCTAAAATTTTGCCAAATAAAAATCCAATCAAAAGCTACCTCCTTTCCTCAGAATCGAAATGGTAAAAATTATTTCATTAAAACACAAAATTAAGCCGGGTGAGGGTTTCCTCTTCAATTGTAGAGATACTAATCCATAAGCTTTCTGTTCTGACTAAATTTTATAATAGATACGACACCTTCGAGGTATCTATCATAGAGCTTGACCATATTTTCTCTTTCATTGATAAGTTTATCAATAAATCCAGATTGGAGCAGGACGCTAAAAAATAGTTGTATCCCTTTGAATTTGAATAACCTTGTGTACAAGCCATTCGTATATTTAGAGCATCATTTCCTTAATTGAGTTGATGCCTGTCTGAGTTCAGGCTTTTTCTTTGGATAATACCAAGGCATCTCAAGAAATACAGCCAAGACTTCTCAAAAATATTGTTCCTTTGTAGGGTCATTCCCAAACATTTCATTAATTGCTTGTTTGAAAACTGAATGATCATAAAAATCTTTAACTGCTCTTTTAAAGACTTGTCAGCCATGACTTTTGGTACTGAAGGAAAGATCTTTGGTAAAGCTATCGAATTCTGTTTGGAGCTTCATTCTCGTACCTCTAACGATTCCTTTATAAATGACATCCTTTCTTCCAGCAAATGTTGCTTTGTAAGGCTTGTTTCTGGAATTAGTGCTATTTCCATGATAAAGCTGATAACTGTGGGCCCTATTCACTGAATTTGTTAATTCACTCTTTTGAGATTCCTGATTATTAAGTACTTCCTTTTCCTCCTCTTGTGCCTCCATGAAGTGTTCTTGGTCCAAATTTTCCTCAACAAGTTCTTTCAGCTGAGGTTTAATGTCAGGGAATACAAATTGATACTCATTAACATCATTATTTTCTTGCTCAGTGCACATTATCCTAAAGGTGTTGCTTGCATTTCCAAAGTAGTAATCATCGAAGAAAGATTTGCTTCTAGTGTCATCCATAAATCTATAATCGTTAGCAATGTTCAAGAGACAAGGCTTACATGTTATCATTTGAGCATTGAAAATTGTTGTCATCAATAGAATCTATTTGCGAGTTCTTATTTGATAAGATAAGTTCTGGGAAGAATGTGTGTCCTGTATACATCTATATCTTAAAGTTAGGATAGTTTTAAAGCTAATGGATGTAAGCCAATTCTCAATGGCTTAAATCAGGAGATAACTTACATTAATAAATATTTTTATAAACATTGGATGCTCCAGATATAAAGTAAATTTATCCAGCCACAGATCGACTGAGAAATACATATTCATCGAATTTTCGGACATCTATCGGATGAGCTACAAAGGCGGACTTTGGTTTAACCATGCTTAACCAACTAATTTGTACTCAATACTTTGTATTAGAGACTCTAGTAGCCTTGTATTGCATAAGGTAGCTTATATTTCGCTAATTTTCAAGAAATTCAAATTCCATGATAACTTTAAATTAATTCTCTGAAATTTTCTTAAAAATCCTGAAAAATCTGATAAGAATAATGAAGAACTACAATTAAATTGTGGATTAATGTCCGTGTAAAATGAGGAATGTCTGATCGGATTATTGACAGAAGATACATTAAAGACTCTACCGAGTGGCTTAATTATGCCAACTTAGAGCTAAAAATTTACCGAACGCTTAAGCATAAATTTAGCTTCATTCTTGACTATAACCTCTTCCTAGACTCTAAAGCAGTTTATCTACAATGTAAAAAAGACAGATTCTTGCATCTTGATCCCCAAAGCTCACTGATTTTTAATAACTTGAAACAAATTCTGCAACAAATATGGCCAGCCTCAATAAAACTACTAGATTGTATACTTCAACCAGAATCGTCTCAGTCGGGGTTTTGGGGTTTTGGGGTTTTGGGG